TATTTTTTGATTTATTTTTGAAGCCTTCATTTCTTTTGAATTTTCCTCCTCTGATGTGATTCATTAATTTTATGAACCGTTTGACAAATAATTCTATTTCTTCAACATCGTCACTAGCATCAGAATCACTCTCGTCTTTTGTGGACTTGAGAGCAACTCTAATTTTCTTTTTTTCCTCGTATCTTTCTTTGTCTCGTCCTTTTTCTCGAGATCTACCTCATCTTGAATCATCATTTCATGAGTGAGGATAAAACCAAGCTCATCGAGAGTTAAAGAATTTAAGTCTTTAGCTTCAATAATCTACGTCTTCTTGGATTGCCAAGCTTTTGGACGAGAATAAATTAACTTCCTCACTAGCTTCTCATTTGGAATGATATCTCCATATGCTTTGAGACCATTGACAATCACGAAAAATATATATGTCATAGCTTTAATGTCTTCATCCGGTTTCATCCTGAAATTTTTATAGCTATGAGTAAGAAAACTGATTTTAGATTCTCTTACCTCGCTTGTGCCTTCATGAGCTACTTGTAATTTATCTCATATCTCTTTGGCGGTTGTAGAAGATGAAACTCTCTCGTATTCATCTGGTCTAAGTTCATAGAAAAGGATATGCATAGCCTTTGAGTTGAGCTGGAACATCCTTGTCTCTTCTTCACTCCACAAATTTGGATTTGTGGATGGTTCAGAGTATCCGTTCATCACGATTTTCCATGCTCCCATGTCATTAGCTTGAATGAAGTACCTCATCTTATTCTTCCCATTCAAGAATGAAGTCAAAATTTGATATGGAGGCCATTGATAACTTGAATATCGATATAACTCTTCCCGAATCGACTCAAAAGGTGGTAAAACCTTCAAATGAGTGTAGCTCTAATACAAATTGTTGAGTTAATAGATCGGATGAATCGGCCAAGAGGGGGTGAATTGGCAATTAAAACGTCGGTGGAAGCTTTTGCAAAAAATTGAAAATATTTGCACAGCGATTTATAGTGGTTCGACTTTCTCAACCAAAGTCTACGTCCACTACCTTAGCTATCCATACTAAGGATTTTCCACAAATTCACTAATTTGTCTTTCTTTTGAGGACAAAGAGTAACTTTACAAATCCCTCAAGAATTTTACTCCAAATTATTGAGAACACTCTCTCCCAAAGAGAAAATTACAAATTCACAAACTTTACAGAAAAACCTCACAAGATAGATTGTTTGCACAATTCTAGAACAAAGAAAGAACATTTAAGAATAAATACAATTGAGCGTAAATGGTGTTGTTGAAAGAAAAATGAATATTGAATGGAAAATAGGCTTGAATGCTCAAACAATAAGTTTAAGGCTTTCTCTTTGATTCTCTCTCAATTCTTGTTTCTTATTCTTCATCAATGGCTTCAGAACTTGTTTAAATACACCTTGGATTGATTTTGAACGTTAAGAATCATTGGTGAAGTCAATAGAGCCGTTGTGGTATGTTTTCCATTTAAAAAATCTATTGGGAGCGTAGGTGTATCGGTACACCATCAAAGGGTATCGGTACACTCAGTGTAAAATTCAAATATTTCAACTGTTATTTGACCAAGTGTATCGTTACCTCACAGGGGTATTGTTACACTAATTACATTTGATGTTTCTTGGAGCCTGGAGTGTATCGGTACATCGGTTATGTATCGGTACCCTTATTTCATTCGTATTTTGGGTTGTATCAATACATCTAATAAGTGTATCGGTATCTCCCTCTATAAAACTTTTTTTGGCTCAATTAAGGATCGAAATACTTCGTAAAAATTGTTTCAAAAATATTTTAAGATTGAAACATAATTTTACACTTAGTAAGGATTAAAAATTGACATTTGAAAACTTGGAGTAATATTTTTGACATTCGAATAATTTAATCGAATATTATTTTTGAAATCGAATATAAAATCTTAAAATTCATTTATACTTTATTTGTTATATCGAAACATCAAATTGTTTTCAACAAAACCGTATAAATGATATCCACCTGTACACCGTAAATAGTCCCATGATTAACCCAAGGAAGTGCCTTGAGGCCTGAGAGCCTACCCAATGATCACCTTAGGTTCGTAAGGATTTATCAGCTTGATCAGAACTATACCTCCATACTCCAGTCTACCCAGATAATATCTCAATAAAACAGTTTGAGTATAACCAGTGAAAGCAGGAAACCATAGTTCATAAACCAGAAATTTCCATGATTCCATAAATAAAAAACAATTCATATTTTTTGGTGAAAACTGAAATCGGAGAACACATACCATGTTGCCATGGTTCATAAACTAGTCAAACAATAATTTCAGTAAAACTCATTTCAAAATATATAAAATTATCATGTAGTACATGTGGAACACACTATAGGATCCAAATATTTTTTCAAAAGCACTTAATAGTTATCAGGAAACCATGAAATTTATTTAATTTGCTCGGATTCCAGGAACGATGTCCTATTAAAAGGAATCGATTACTAATGGATCTATTCAGACATTTAAAGTTGATACTTTAGAATCCCTCTATGATCCAGATGCATCAGGAAGGTCTTTAGGAACCTATATACAAAATAATTCTAGATTTAGATTAACAGAGAGTGATTCTGTTACCCAAACAATCTGGGGTATTCAGGATTATGAATTGAATTATCAGGATTTTAAGTCCAATTAAACCCAAATGGATATTTAAGATATTTGCATATGAGTTACTTGTGTTTTCAGATATGACTGAAGTGATTTGAGCTGATAAGGGAGAAACGAAGATCCGGGATATTTACAATCTGAGTCGATTTATCGGATTATCAAAATAACTCGAGCTGAACAACTCCCAGAGCTAATGCATATCGACTGAACAATTCATTGCCATTCCAGGATATTCACTCTATAATATCAACAATTCTTATCCATAGATCACCTTCAGAATCATCGTTGAATATATCTTAAAGAAAGGAACAAATATTCCAATGGTCTTTATCTCATTTCCACATTGCAACAATATCATAAATTGTCAACGTACTATAATTTGTGGTTCATAACTCATAGGGACAATTCATCATGCAATATCGGCGGTGTTTCCATACTTATCCAAAGTATTCACTTAATTCAAGGTCATCGGGGTACTTAATTCAATTAGTATTCAAATCTATCCTGGTCATTTAGGAGTTTCATGAGTAATTCGATCATTTATGCAAGTTCGAATACATACAGTACTTCCATTCCGTTTAACTTGGTCAAATAATATAGTCATATAAGTATTCGAGGTTAATTTATTCATTTCGGAGCTTGAGGGCATTAGTCATTCTAGGTCTTGGAATTATGCAACAAATATAATTTACCCGTAGGAACAGTAAGTAGAGGCTGGAGTATGACGATCAACTCCCCAGTTTACTATGCATGATTTGGCCTTTTTTTAGTTTTTCCTCTTTGAACTCTTCTTCATGCAGATCACTTGCTTCCGTTTCTACCATTGTTATCTGCCTAGTGGTACCCCAGTTATAGCTTTGACTTCATAAAATACTGCACACACCATGAATTACTCCACCTGTAAGCATGAACGCACCAAGCTTGTCACTAGCTGTATACACTAGGTATAACAAGATAACCAATGATGGGAGTGTATATAGCTAGCCAAGAAAGTGGCTTTTTGCCCTCCCGCTAACGTATAAACAATTACCCTGATCGGTATATGTTCACTCCGTAAGTGCATTCACCATGGGGAAACCGTCGAGTAGCAACATCGCCGTCAGATGAGGTTTGTCTTGAGGCAGAAAGTAAGGAAGATGAGCTTTTCCCCGTCTAAGGTATGTCAAAAAACGGGAAGTGATGTATATCAGGAGTTTTGATTTTTGTATTTTGGTTCAATAAAGATAGTGCTTACGGAGCTTTTACAATCTCTCAAACCACACCTGATCTAAGAGAAAGTTAAACAGCATGATTTTATGGCATTCCAGGAAGGAGGTTGAATGATTGATGATTCAAAGACATCATGATCCACAAGCTATTAGCAATTGAATTACCAAGAAGTGCAAAAGTGCGTAGCCGAGGCCTTGAGTCAGCACCGCCTTGCCTTGGAAGAAACTGCTCTGCCTCACACACCCTATATACATAGCATACCCTCTTGGAAATCATAGTAGTTACCACACAACTCAAATGGTGGACACTTTTCATTCATACTTGCATATGCTTCACATAATCTCAATATTACAAAAACTCTTAAAAAAAGGCCCCAAAAAGTCTATAATCAGCTCCACTCCTGCCTTGTTTCATCCGGAATCTGTTTTCGTCATTGAATTGCAAATATCTCAATTTTGTACCTATTTAGTCCTTAATGTTTACAAATTATATCTATTTAGAGTTGATTTTAACTACATCACATTCACTAAGAAAGTAATAAATAAAAAGTTTAAAGGTATTTAGGACCCTTTTTAACTTAAAATTCAACGTGGCTCTTTAATTAATAAAAAAAGATCAATTTAGTTTGATCAATGGATAACATTAATCATTATGATGTTCACATTGCGATTTATGGTATTGATATGATGAAGATGATGTTATAGAGGAATTTAGTTGAATTTTTATAAAAAAAATTTGATGATTTAATTGATTTTTTATAAAATATTAACAAAAATTAAAAGCTACATTTGATCAAATATTTTGACAGATAATCAGATCGCACACATAGTTTTGGTGGATGAGTCTTATAGCAGAGATTTTCTATATACACAATAACTCAAACTCGAAACCTGCTAAAATGACACTAAGTCGCTTACCACTTAACCAATCTAATTAATATGATATGTTTTGAAAAGTAGTACATGTTAGTTTATTTTCAAAAACGTTGTTAGAAAAAAAGAGAGTAAAATATATAATGATAAATACTTTAATTTAAGGTCATATAAATAAAGAAAAATTCAAAGGCCAACTTAATATGAGTTGAAAAAGAAAAATATTTGCGAGACTTAACCACTATACGGTTAGCATCGAACCTAAATATAATTAGTGTTATTTAAAACAGTAATATATTTTATTATTGTTTTATTCAGAAGAGTACAAGCTTTATTTGCAGACTTGAAGAGAGTGCATTTAGCACTGAGGCCATGGGACTTTGCAATCAGAAGCAACTCTTTTAGCGTTGGGAGTGTCGACGTATGGTTTAAGACCTGGGTTCTTGATGTACCCACAAAGGCAAGGCTCCTGCTCCTGCAGCTTGCTGCAACAAGCTGCTGTTGGTGCCGCCGGCGATGTGAACGCCGGCATGCACGGACTAAACTCTTGGGGATTACATGTCACTGCCTCTGCCGCTCCCCAAAACAGCACCGCCACCGCACAAATTGCAACAAAGGAAACCCTCTTCATCTTTCTTTTTTTTGCCAACAACAATGAAAGCAAGAAAGTTAAATGGTGCCTGGGAATGAGTTGTGGCATAGTTTATAGGACTTGGGATTTACAGTTTACATCAGGATTTACGGATGTTAAACTGTTATCAGTAAAGTTTTCTTGGGTTTTAAACTTAGAAAAATTGGATTAAAAAACCTTATTACACTAGGAATCAGATATTTGAACATTAAAGATTACGTTATTAGAAAGATAATTATAAAGTGGCTTAAATGCATAGTTGCTCCCTAAATTATATCATTTGTACCAAGTTAGCCTCTAAAGTATTTTTCGAAACGTTTTGCCCCCTAAACTTTAAATTGTTACCTCATTTGCCTCTATCCGTTAACTCAGTTAAAAACACAGATAAATTACATATTTAGTCACTCAACTATTCATGCGATTCTATTTTGATCAATCAACTATTTTTATTTTTAAATTCATCATTAAACTTAAGTTTTTATTTCGATTTGGTCACTCAATTCAATTAGATTTATTTTTAAAATTTACAATATATAAGAATTAATTTATATCACATATTTTTTACTCAACACATAAATTTAGTGTATAATAATAAATAATATTATAGCGTAAATAATAAACAACATATTTAATTTGTTTGTACCTAAAATTTTAATAAAAGAAATGTTAAATGTTAAATTAAAATATCATAAATATTTTAAGAAATTGAAATATGAACGAGTCATTATTTATAAATTTGAATCTTGTCAAATTTTAAGTTTCGTACTTGAAGTTATGTCTTTGCTTCTTTTTTAACTAGAAATTAATTCCTGTATTGATTTTGAATGAACTACATATTTTTATTGATTTGAAGCAGTTTAAGCTACCCGATTGTACCTTCATTTTAAGAAATTAAAATATGGGTTTTTTTAGAATTGAATTTCAAATGTGGTTACTCCTCTATTCACTAAAAGAAAGAGGTAAGATTTAAATTTATAAATAATGACTCGTTCATATTTTATTTTAAAAAAAAATATTTATGATATTTTAGTTTAACATTTAATATTTTTTATTAATATTTTAAGTACAAACAATTAAATATGTTGTTTATTATTTACATTATAATATTATTTATTATTATACATTAAATTTATGTGTCGAGTAAAAATATAAATGAATTCTTATATATTGTAAATTTAAAAAAATAAATATAATCGAATTGAGTGACCAAAATGAAACAAAAACTTAAATTTAATGATGATTTTGGAAAAAAATAGTTGACTGACCAAAATAAAACCTCATGAATAGTTAAACGACTAAATATATAATTTACCCGCATATTTTTTAACGGAATTAAATGATTGAGACCAATGGAGTAACGATTTAAACTTTAAGGGAAAAAATCCCAAAAAATACTTTAGAGAACAACTCAATACAAATGGTATAATTCAGAGGAGAATGGTGATCTAAGCCTTATAAATTTCGACATAAACAATGAATAAGAATTAAAGAAAACACTTGGAAAAGCGAGTATGTAACTGAATAAACAAACTCCACCATTTACAAAATTTGTTGGTATTAGCTAAAAATGGTGGCATCTATCTTACCTTGATTAAAATCAGCACTTTGATTAATAAATATGATGCCGTATTTGGGAACTGTCGTGATATGATCATTAATGGAAGCAAAATAAAAGGTTAAGGTATCAGTTCAGGTTCACGTGAATTACATCTGATTTTAATTATTAGAGTGAATTTTGCGCCAATTTATTTTAGGGTTAACTACAGGAAAAATCACTTACATTTATATTTTATCCACTTTTGGTCATTGATTTCATAAAACATAAGATATAATCACTTTCGTTTTTATTTAATTAAGATGTGGTCACCTCGAGTTACCTGCCGTTAACAGGAGTTAAATATTTTTGATATAATCATTCATTTGGTCCCTATTATTTACATATTCTCTCAATTTATTCATACTTTTAATAAATTAAAATAAATTAAACCTATTTTACAACTTGAAGTTGACTTAGATTTTTTTTTTCGAGTCGAGTCAAATTTTCAAGTCTCTGTTTAAATTTAATTATAAATATTTATAATATTATGATATTTTTTTGTTCCAATTTAAATGATCTTTTATAACCATATACAATACATGTGTATTTCTTTATTTTTTTCATATGTGATATACATTTATGATACAAAGTTGAGAGACTCAACTCAAACTTGAAAATCAATCCACTAATTACTAAAATTTTTTAGTTATTCAAGTTGTATTTTACAACTTGGTTAAAAAATTTCGAGTCTTGTTAGGTTTATGAAATTACAACTTGAAGTTAATTTGAGTCAAGTTTTATAGATTCGAGTAAAAAATCAGTTCTTCGAGTCATGACATGTGACATCATTCGATTGGAGGATTAAAATTATTTTAATTTATTAAAAATAGGATTATATTGAGAGAATATGTAAATAACTGAGATCAAATATGTGATTATATCAAAATATTTAACTATTGTTAACATCAGTTAACTCGGGGTAACCACATATTAATTAAATAAAAACGAAAGTGACCACATCGTAATTAAATAAAAACGAAAGTGACCATATCTTATGGTTTTTGAAATCAATGACCAGAAGTGGACAAAACATAAACGTTAAATGATTTTCCATGTAGTTAACCCTTTATTTTAATTTAAGTTACTTCTAATCTTAATTCATGTTAATTAATCTCTACTTGTAATTATTTGTATGTAAATTTGATTTATAAAGAGAATGGAGGACAAAAATTAATTGTGTTTCTTTTGGATTCAAATATTTTTTTATCTGTCAAAATATTAAAAAATGTTTTGACAACGATGGCTTGAAAATGACTCATCACTAGTGTAAGAAAGAAATGCTAATTTTCAATGAAAAAGAAATTCGAATGTGACATAGGGAAAGCAAACTTAAAATTTGTAGTACTTATAGTGTTTTTGATTAAATTGGTGTTACATGTTAAACAATATTAATTTAATTGAAGTAAAATTTTATAATGAGTGTCATATATCAAAATACATTATTAAATAAAATTATATTTGTCAATAAAGGATTAAAAGTTTTAGAGTTCAATCACGTCATTAATTATGATTTTAATAAAGACATGCTCAAATAATAAATTTATATTATAAAATATATATTACTTTAATTTTGTTTTAATTTGAAAACCCAAACTATTAAACCCCCTAATGTTTTTCATCCATCTTCAACAAAATTTGTTTAAAAAACTCTACCGCTAACGACTTATTACATATCGAGTATTTTTTTGCACCAATTTGTAAGCAAGATGCACTGAGAAGTGGTATGAAGGCCTAGGCAATACAGATGTATTCAAACTTTAAATTCATTATCATTGATGTTTGCGGCCATATAAATTACAAGTTATATTTTTGGGAGAGTGTAATGAAATTTGTTTTGTTTAGATGAATGTTAACAAAACAATGGATAAGATCAAACTGAAAACATTAAACAAATTCATGAATCTATGCATGTTTATGAATACTGTGGCTAGCTCTCTAACAAATGAGTTGATGAATTGGAGGATGGGGCTCTTCTCTCTTACTACTATCGGCTATTACTCATAAAATCATCACATATATCTGTTGTTACTAAAATAAATATGATTAATAATCTAATGTAAATTCAGGGATGATTATTATATTTAAATTCAATCATGCTTATTTTGAAAACATAAAAGATTATATTTGATCTTTTATTCAGAACAGGCACAGTAGCGAGACAGCAAAAACAGCCATTATTTTTGGGATGGTACATAGTAACAAATTAACACCGTGGGATGGCAACTTTGCAATAAGAAGCGACTCTTTTGGAGTTCGGACTGTCGACATAGGGTTTAAGAGCAGGGTTCTTAATGTACACACAAAGGCATGGCTGCTGCTCCTTCAGCTTGCTGCAACAAGTCTGTGTTGGATTGGCGGGCGACATGAACGCCGGCATGCACGGGCTCAGCTCTGCGGGATTGCATGTCACCGCCTCCGCCCTCCCCCACAAAAGCACCACCACCGCACACAAGGCAAAAATGGAAACCCTCTTCATCTTTCTTTCTTTCTTTCTTTTCCCCCCCCAAATGAAGTTAGATGGCACAATTTATACAAGTTGGGATCGTTAACTTTTGATTTACGGACTTTAAACCGTCACTACTGAAGTATTTTAAACTTGTCGCATTTATATTTGAATATTACAGAAAATGGAGTATCAATAAATTAAAACGAAACTTTTGAGGGAAATAGTGGTCCTAGCACATTGATGAATAAATATCGTCCCAGACTTGGGACCTCTAGTATTGAAGTCTCCATGTGATTATTAAAAGGAGGCATCGGGATTCCATTCAACAGCTATAGCCTACAGACGAAGAAATCAATTAAACCTTTATGTATTTCGAGGTAAGTGGATTATCTTTAAACCTGCCTTCATCCTATCATTTTTAAAGGCTTGCTTATATCTCACCTTTGTTTCAGATTATGTTTGTGTAAACTGTAGATTTCGTGTTTAAATATATATTTTAATCAAAAGATATTTAAACACTTCAAATAAAAAATATCGTTTACTTTTCAATTAGGTGTATTTATTACATAATCATACTAACCACTATCAAACACACCAATTAAGCAAACCCGGAATTTATGGGAGCAAAAGTGCGTGAATGCCTTTCGCTTAATAATACTCCCAACTATCATAAGCACACTAACTAAACAATTTATTTAATAATATTATCTTATATTTAATATAGTTTAGTCTGTATATAAAATTTTATCAATCATAATTCAAATATTAAATCAAATATTTGAAAGAGTAAACTATGTCAAATACCACTCAATTTTAAGTTATGATTCGTTTATGCCATTGATCTTTTAATTTTTCCAATTTTAACACTGACATTTATGTTCAACTACAATGTACTAATGGTCTCGGGTTCGGCTTTGACTTAGATTGAATGATGGAGTTGCCACCGATCACTTTCGAATTAGGTGGATCGGGTACATTGAACTTA